TTCGGTACATGATTGAAAAAAATATTCATATTGAACTACCTCATAGTAGTCATGCAAGGGTATCATCAAAAGGTTGGTCTATCATCCATCGTCTATTCGTATCCACATCCAGTCATCTTCCTATCCAAGCGTATCCATGCTGTACAAAAATATTCTGGTAAAGCAACCAGATCCGAAAAAAAGCAGGGCTCCTACTCCATCTCGATGGTACCAGGAGGCTTGCTGGTGACTAGTCAAAGTTAGCAGATATTCCTACTTTATATGAACAAAGGAGAACTTACTATCGTAAACCACACGGCAAACGCCATTGACCTCGTTTACAATCCTCCTGCTCACCCTCTTGAGGAACTCGCCATCAAATGGATACCAGTCTGCCGTCATGAAATCTGACGTCTCGACGGCCCTCAGTGCAATCACCTGGTCGTGCACACGCTTGTCACCCATAACACCAACCGCCTTGACAGGGAGAAGCGCCGCAAACGCTTGACTGATGTTCCTGTACAGACCAGCAGCCTTGATTTCCTCAATGAAGATGTGGTCAGCCTCACGTGCAATGCGGACCTGCTCGCGAGTGACCTCGCCCAAGATACGGATGGCGATACCTGGGCCAGGGAATGGGTGGCGCCAGACGAGATCCTCTGGAATGCCGAGCTCCTTGCCCAGTTCACGAACCTCGTCCTTGAAGAGCTCGCGCAGAGGCTCAATGACCTTGAGCTTCATGTCCTTGGGAAGACCGCCGACATTGTGGTGCGTCTTGATGGTCTGCGAGGGGCCCTTGAACGAGAGTGATTCAATGACGTCAGGGTAGAGGGTACCCTGAAGGAGCCATTCAATGTCACCAGCGTCGCTGGACGCATGAGCCTCTGCCTTGATCTTCTCGGCTTGCTTCTGGAACACTTCAATGAAGGTGTTGCCGATGATCTTGCGTTTCTTCTCCGGATCGTCGGTCACGCCCTTGAGGCGGTCGAGGAACAGGTCGGATGCGTCAATGACTGTAAGGTTGATACCCAGACCTTCGTCTAGAGTCTTCTTGACCTGTACAGCCTCGTTGAGTCGCAGTACACCATTGTCGACCATGACGGCGTGGAAGCGATCACCAATAGCCTCCTTCATCAGCTTAGCGGCAACGGTCGAGTCGACGCCACCACTGACGGCGCCGATAACTTGCCCTTTGTCGCCTACAAGCTTCCTGATGCGCGTAATCTCCTGATCCACAAACTTGCTCATGGTCCAGTTTGTGTTCGCTTGGCAGATATCGACGGCAAAGTTCTTCAGTACCGTGGTTCCCTTCTTTGTGTGTGTGACTTCAGGGTGGAACTGAATGCCGTAGTACTTGCTGGTTGTGTGCGCAATGCCCGCAAATGGCGCATTGTTCGTAGTCGCAACAGTCACAAAGCCCTCGGGCATATGGCTGAGCTTGTCGCCGTGACTCATCCAGACCTCGAGGTCGTTGCCCAAGTCCTTGAACAGCTCGTCCATGTGTCCGCCGTGGTTCTCGACCTTGAGGTTTGCATGTCCATATTCCCTCTTCTCACCTGCGGCTACTCCGGCGTTCTTGCCAAAGTGCCATGCCATCTCTTGTAGTCCATAGCATATGCCCAAAATTGGGACGCCGAGATCAAAGACGGCGTGGTCGACGTGGGGTGCGCCCTCCTCATAGACTGAGTATGGGCCACCGGAGAGGATGATGCCCTTTGGTGTGAAAGGAAGATCGGCAATTTTAGTGGTACATGGCAGCATCTCAGAATAGATGTTCAGCTCACGGAGTCGGCGTGTGATCAAATGTGTGTACTGAGAGCCAAAGTCGAGAACCAAAATGGTATCGAACGTCTTGTGGGGAGGAATTGGGTCGGAGTTGTCGGTCGCCATTTTGAAAGAAGACGTACACTTGAAAAGTGTGAAATTGGAGTGTGAAAGAAAGTGTTGACAAGAAGAAAAAAGTTGAAAGAAAGAAGACGGGGTATCTGGGGAGGGAAACCAGGCGCAGGAGGGGCTCCGTGACTCTCGCAAATTTTGGCGGGGCCCAAAATTTCGCTATCGATAGCGCCGCCGACGCAGCGCGAAAGTCGCGTCGCTCGAATTCTCCACTCGTCTCAGCTCAGTTGGTACCGATTTTTGTATACTGCACACTCAAAACATACAATGGCCAAAAGAAAGTCTGAGAGAGATCCCGAGGATCTGCCTGATGCGCCAGAAAAGCGCACGCAGCAAGATGGTGACGACTCTGGTAGCGACGAGGTATGCGCTTCGGTCGATTATTCTTCTTGTAATACGGCAAGCTAACCGTTGCTCTCTAGGAAATGGACATAGTGAATGTCGACTTCGAATGGTTTGATCCGCAGCCAGCTGTTGACTTCCACGGGCTTAAAAACCTGTTGCGCCAACTCCTCGACGTCGACGCGCAATTATTCAATCTCTCAGAACTCGCCGATCTCATATTGTCGCAACCGCTCTTGGGAAGTACCGTCAAGGTTGACGGCAATGAGACGGATCCATACGCTTTCCTTACAGTCTTGAACCTGCAGACACACAAGGTACGCATGCGCCTTGTCAATTTGAGAAAACCGGCAGGCCTAACAAACATCTGTAGGACAAGAAAGTAATTAGCGACCTGACATCCTACCTCTCGAAAAAAGCCTCTTCAATCCCCACACTCGCGCCACTGCTTGCCGAATCTTCTGAGGCACAAGTCGGTCTTATTCTGACCGAGCGCTTTATCAACATGCCACACGAGGTCGTGCCCCCGATGTATACCATGCTACTTGAAGAGATCCAATGGGCGGTCGAGGAAAAGGAGCCTTACACATTTACCCACTACCTCGTGCTTTCAAAATGCTATTCCGAAATTCAATCGCAACTACCGAGCGGAGATGCGCCACCAAGCAAGAAGAAGAACAAGAAGGCCGACGTTGGGCAGGAGACGTTTTACTTCCATCCCGAGGACGAGGTGCTACACAAGCACGCGGTGGGCTTCACGGACTTTGATTATGATACCCCGGTAGACGAGGGTGCGAGCGACAGTAAGAGGGCGTTTCAAGAATTGGGAGTAAAACCTAAGGGACACATGGTGCTAATTGAGGCGGATAAGTTCAAAGGCGCTGTTGAGGCTGTCAAGACCTACCTAAGCGGTCAATGATATCTTTGATGCTCATGCACGATGCATCCAATGAGAGCCATAGAGCGAAAGACGCCGTGATTATCGTAACGTGTACCAGTAATAGAGTCGCGGCAACACCTGCAACCAACACAAACAAAGGGTGACTCTAACTAGTGTTACATTGCAAGGACACAAGCCGAATCTATGTGAATCAAACCGTAGGAAATTGTTGATGCTCGCTCCTATACACACACAAGTCTCGACATCCGTGCGCCTCCCCTTCAAAAGTTACTCCGCTTAACCAATGACAACCTTGCCCTCCTCGGGGAAGTCGTACGAGGGAACCTCGAGGTTGAGCGGGGCAGGTCCCTTTCTTATGCGGCCAGAGATGTCGTAGTGGGATCCGTGGCAAGGGCAGAACCAGCCTCCAAAGTCACCAGCCTCGCCAATGGGGACACATCCAAGATGGGTGCAGACACCTGTTGCTGTTAATTCCAATCTTCATCTGTGCGGTTCGCGGTGTAACGTACCCAACATGATCAACCATTCGGGCTTCTGGACACGGGCAGAGTCGGGCTGGGGGTCACGGAGAGACTCCCACTTGGTATCTTCAGCCTCCTTGATCTCGTCCTCGGTGCGGTGTCGGATAAAGACGGGCTTGCCTCGCCACTTGATAATGACCTGCGCTCATCAGCTTCCGCTCGTCGGGTAATCCGTGTGATGTCGCAAAACGTACGTTCTTGCCCTCGGGAATGGCAGCGAGGTCGATTTCAACCTTGGCTTGGGCCAAAACGTCGGCGGAAGCAGACATGTTGACAAGGAAGTCTGTTGAACGATTGCGTTAGCCGTTCGGTTCTCCATCAATTCGCGGACGCATGTCATCCGAAAAATGGCCAATTGCTCTCCCACAACTCCAAATATGCCATATCAACTCCTCCAAGCAATTTCCACCCCTCCATTGTGTTGTCGCGGTGCTGGTGACCTACCCTGTACGGTCGCCTTCGCGCCAAGCGCACTCAGCGCACCCATGGTTCCGACCATGAAGTACTGGAAGACCTTGGGTCCGGTCTCGCCACCCTTATTCCTGTACGCAGCAAACGAGGGGATCTTGGTCGTCTCCGGGGTGCCCTTGAAGGGGCTATCGAACGAGGAAGCCGAGGCGTTGCGGGTCTGCATGGCGGTGCAACCGGCCGCCCGGGCAACGGGCAATTGGTGAGCGGTCCATGAGCGTGCGACGGCACGGGCGGTGTTGGCGAGAGCGGGCATCGTGGACGCGAGTGGGCGGGGGTTGTGGTCGTTGATGGAGAGGAGCTTGGGTTGACGATGTTGAAGTTTTGGCTGGTTTGGCAGGGAGCGTTATGTCAGGTGTTGTCTGATTGGCCAGAAGGTCTCGTGGCCGACGAACACCATCCAAGCGTCATCGCCCGAACACCACGACGGCATTGTAGTAACATGGGTTTTGATTGGGCTTGCTTGATACACAATGTTGCACTTTGCTATTTTTCTTTGCTCACTATTAGCTCCATAGCTTGGTTTTCTGGTAAGACATCACATGGTATCGTTATTTTAAACTACCCTGCTTCTGAACTGTCATTTCTCATTTCTTAAAATCTGTATATTTGCTCTCACAACTACAATGAATTTATAGATCGTATGCACAGACTGTTGACTCATCTAAGGTGAGAGAGAGCCTTGGCGGCTGCCTGGCTTCTAGCTTTTGGTCCCAATCCACAGAATTATGCCTTTGGTCCTTCACTACTTTACTACTTTCCTTGTCACTGACAATCCCTTCCTTCTCACCACTCTCCACAGAGTGCTCGCCAGTACAACCTTCTCAGTTAGCACCCATATGCCTTACAACCCTATCCAACGTCACCTAACAACTTTCAAATCACTCGCAATCATGTCCGACATCAAAAATGCTTCCATCACTTCCTACTTCAAGCCGAAAACTGCAGATCGCGATCAAGCAAACTCCCAAAAACTTCCTAAACACGAACCGGAAAACCAACCAGTATCAGGAACCCCAACACCTCAAGATACCAGCAAAAATAAAACCAAAAGATCACTCTCCACATCCTCAGCCCTCCTCCCCTCAAAACGACAAGACACAAAAACCACTCCTACCCTCACCCCTCTTTCCTACAAAGACCTCCCCCCAAGCCCTCCCTCGACCACCTCGAGTACCCTGTCCCTAACCCACCACACCGGCTCCCTCTTCACCGCACCCCCAGGCACCCTGCTCCTCCACGCCTGCAACACCCAAGGCTCCTGGGGCTCAGGCATCGCCCTAGCCTTCAAAAAGCAGTACCCCAACGCTTACACCATCTACCACGCCTTCTGCACCAAAGAGCATTCCCCGAAAACTGGAAACTCAGTGCCAGTCGGCACAACGCTATTGATTCCACCAGTGGACGGCGACAAGGGGCATTGGATTGGGTGTCTATTTACGAGCCGCAGGTATGGGAAGGGTAAGGATGCGGCAGGGGAGATTCTGAGGAATACGGGGAGGGCGATTGAGGGGTGCTTGGGGTTGTTAGGGTTGCTGGGCGAGGAGGTGGCGAGTGTGAGGATGTGTAGGATTAATAGTGGGAAGTTTGGGGTGCCGTGGGAGAGGACGGAGGTGTTAAGGGGGGTTGTGGTGAGGGAGGGGTGGGTGGGGAGGCTGGAGGTGTGGAATACGGAGGGTAGTTAGGGGATATATATCAGAGTGTAGGTGCTAGTCCTGTTGGTGGATGTGAGAGCTCAGATGCATGAAAGTGGTAGCAGTCGGTTGATGAGTCGGTGGAGTTCCAAGTCATACTATTCAATTCTCTTCAAGTAGCCCGGTTCTAATCTAGCATCATATCCCAGGCCACGCAGTAGATGCAGTCTGGAATATTTTAATTTATATTGCGATCCGGTAGAACAGATCTTTCATGTTCGTCCGGGGCATAGTCAAATCCCCATATCGAATTCCGTCAACTCGTCAAGTATCCTCGGCATGGTATATCCTGCTGAACGCCAAATGCAATGCAAATAATTCTTCGCCCCCAAGTCCTGAATCAGCGCAAGTTACTTGTTACCGTTGATAGCTGTGAACCCTCCTGTCGGCCGCCTGACTACTGGACTGGCAGGCTTGTTCTCAGTTGGCGCAGGCTGGCTTGGTGGACCGCGCATCTCCATCTCGATTTGCATGGCTGCAGCATCTTCCTCTGGCTCACTGTCTGCAACACGGTCTACTCCCTGATCGACCTCCATGGCATCGGGTGTCTCCTCTGGCTTGTCTGGTGACTGCGAAGCCATGGCAGCGCCATTCTCAGGTGTTTGAATCTTGTCTGCGGCATCACCCTCCACCGTCTCTACAGGCGCACCCAGTTTTGTCTGGCCATTTGCTATAGGGTCTTTCTTGCCTTCCTTCTCCTTCCTCTTCGCATCCTCTTTCTCCTTTTCCTCGATCCTCTTCTTTACCGTGCCCCATGTGCTTGTCTTGGGTGCAACATCGACCAGGAATTCGAGATTGTCGGTCTTTGCTACGGCGCTGCTGACATCACGGTACTGGATGTTGCGGCGGGGCTTGCGCTCAGCTTTTACAACATTGTAAGTTGTGGTTGCGAGGTGCTGGATGAACATTTCTGTGGCGAGCGCGATGGCAAAGGCAGCATTCTTGGAAGTTGTGATGCGCTCCGGGTCCGCTTGAATGATCTTCTGCACGCGTGCCACTGTTGAGGGAGTTAATGGATGAGGTTGTGTGAATAGCGACTGAATATTCTACTTACACGGAAGCGACACATGGCCGGTAATCTCCTTGTTGGGCGCAATCGGAGTGTTGTTGTAGGGCATGGTGGAGGAGGGTGCCTTGCTCTGGCTGTATGTGCTGCGGATTGTCAGGTGGGTACTTGGAGGTTGATGCGCGATTCCAGCAGAGGTTCGAAATTGCGACGGAGGCGAATCGTATTCAAGGTGCTGATTGACGCGGTCAAGTCGCGCAAAATAGTCGGGTTGAGGATACAGTCGCGTATGGTGGTAGTTTCGAGGTGCGGGTGAAGACCAATCCCCACACCCCTGTCTAACTTTCGACGATCGTTTACTGGGGCCCGGGGCGACGCGGACACCAACCTTCTTCACCCGTGTTCTCTGGGAATATCTATCATTCTCCAGACTCATACAACTGTTCTGTCCCTTGCAATACCGATTTGTCACGTGTCATTGTTCTGTTGTCATTCTGTGCTGAATCGAGCATCCATCGCAGTACCGCGAGGGTGTACATCAATCATGAAGCTTTCTATTGCAAGTTTGCTTGCTGCGACTGTCCCTGCCACATCCTTTTCACAGGTGCCGTTCCAAGAGACACTCGATGTTGAAGGTTTCCAGACATATCAGAGTCAGTTCTCCGAACACCATGCCATCCGCATCAGAGAGCAGCAAGACGACACGATTTGCAACGCTCACGGTAAACAATATACTGGCTGGCTAGATGTCGGCTCAAAACACATCTTCTTTTGGTACTTTGAATCACAGAGAAAGCCGTCCGAAGATCCGCTGTTGTTATGGTTGAGTGGAGGCCCAGGTGCGTCTGGCATGCTTGGAATGATGGGTGAGTTGGGACCATGCATGATCAATGAGCACGGTAATGGCACTGTCTTCAACGAATACGGGTGGAGCAAGAATGCCAACATCATCTTTGTTGACCAGCCGGCTGGTGTGGGCTTCAGCTATGTTGACCCAGGTGTCCCGCTTCCGGCTACAAGCTTCACAGCGGCTGAAGACATGCATCATTTCCTGCAGCTGTTCACCAGCGATGTCTTCCCGAGCCTTTCCGGAAGAGATTTCCATATTACCGGAGAAAGCTATGCTGTAGGTTTTTTGCACCATAATCAAGTGTACAAGCTGATCGACCACCAGGGCCACTATGTTCCAGCACTCGGCGCGCAGATTGTGTCTCAGAACCTCCTGTACCCAAAGCGACCGCAAGTCAACCTTAAATCAACATTCACCGGCAATGCATATGTCTCACCCAAAGACACTACCTTTGGCTATTGGGAGACTCTTTGCACAACGAATCCCGGTGTCGAGAGCCCCATCTTCAACCAGACGCGCTGCGATATCATGGCAGCAAACCTACCTCGCTGCATGGAGCTCACCCAAATCTGTTATGATCACCCAGATCCAGCCATATGCATCGCTGCAGAGAAAGTATGTGACAAGGGGGTCATCCAATACTACGACGGCGAGTCTGGCGAAGGTGGTCGCAATCGCTACGACATCACAGACGGGTGTGAGACGAAGGACGAACTATGCTACCCTGAGATCCCGAGGATACAAAAATATCTCAATCTTCCATCGGTTCGACAAGCTCTTAACGTACCTAAAGCTGCGGGCAACTATTCGGTTCTATCTCTGGATATTACATGGGCCTTTGCTCTAACTGGAGATGGTGTTCAGAGCACGCAGCCACAGGTCTTGTACCTTCTTGAGCATGGTATCGACGTGCTTTTCTACCAAGGCAACCTTGATCTTGCGTGCAATACTGCAGGAAATCTGCAGTGGGCAAACACGATGCAATGGAAAGGTCAGCCAGCGTTTGTTGCACAGCCAAAGAGAACGTGGAAGAACGACGGAGAAGAAGTAGGGTGGTTCAAGGAGGTAAAGACCAAGACTGCAAGCGGCAGGGAGACGACCTTTGCTTTTACAACGGTAGATAGAGCGGGACATCTTGTTCCATTTGATAAGCCCAAGGAGGCATTGGCACTCGTGGACAGGTGGTTAGAGAAGCGGAGCTTTGCCTGAGTGTCGCGTGTACTGGTTGTAGTAGTTGACATGTTCCAAATTGCGCTTGCCCAAAAATTGTATGTAATGGCATGTTACACAGTATGCGAATTTGGTAGTGGTCCGCAGCTGGTGACAGACATGGTTGTTAGCTGGCTTGCAGAGATGGGTTGATGTGGGTAAAATGACGAAAGCGAGCTCCTTCACCAGTGCGCAATCGCAGCAAGCTCGGGATAAGCACACGACAGCTCCAGCTCCGTGATCGCTATACTGTATGCAAATTTACAATGCAGGCACCACATCGGCCATTTGCATGTCATCATTCGCATCGCTTTGGGTGCCCAAACATGCGGTTCGTCTCCACCGATGATATCACTACAACACTACGTCATCGCTATGTTAGTTTTGCGCGCAAAAGAAACCCTTCATAAGGAGAAGGGAGAACTCACCCTCGACATCATCATTCGCACATCCATTGCAATTCATCTCCTCTTCACTCAACCAATCTTCCAATTTAACTCTTTTTCCCACGTTTCATAACCCACATACTCAACATGTCTGGAAACTCAAGCGTCGGCAACAGGACCGTCTACGAGGCTGGCGACCAGGTCACCAAGTCCAACGCCGAGATCGAGCAGGAGAAGAAGGAGAACAGGTTCCACGAGGGCAAGGAGAACTCCCACAAGGCTCTTGACTCAAGTATGTGCTTCCCCTAGTTTGTTGCATGTGTCGATGCCCTTTTGGTCGTGCCGCGCAAGGCTTGGGTCAAACTCAACCATGATTGCGTTAAGAAACATATGCTAACAGCGGCTGGCAGAGGACGAGCGATCAATTGCCAACAAGCTCGAGCGCGAGGAGAAGCGCGAGAAGGAGGGTGAGGAGAAGTCTCTCGAGGACCTGCAGAGGGAGAAGGATGCTACCCTGCCTGCACGCGCACACGGCAACGAGCCCTCCAAGGGAGCCAAGATCGACCAGGAACTGAGGGAAGAGGACGAGGCCATGCTCAAGAAGAAGGGTGCTGCCTAAGTTTGTCGCTGTAAAAGACGTTTTTGATACCTGCACTTTTTCACGCGCATGCCTGGAGTTGGAGGGATATACGCATAATGACTCGGATTGACGATAAAACGTCTCCACGAAAGCCTGGAATATGGCTGAGACATGAATGAAGATATGTTCACCACCAAACCATCTACTTTTGTATGAAGTTGCGACGTGATGCGGCTCAAGCTATCTCGGTGTGATGCATGCAGAGCTCCCCCACATTGCCGTGCTTGACTACCTACCCCTCCATGCACTGTTCCTGACTCGCGCAGCCTCGGGATTGCCGCCGATATCCATGGCCATTATGACTTGCGCCCGCATTATCAACCCCGAATCGTAGACTCCACACTCCTTCACCCATTAATTGCTGTATTACAAAGCATTGCGACTTACATGCCTGTTCTGCCGTCATCTAAGCTTTTCTTCCGCACTGCAACTGCCTTTGCCCAAGCCCCATTGCGACCCCGCATCGTCCCTTGCAGTACACAACTACAGAGCTATCTTCAACATCACGCTGCCAAAATGTCGACTAAGATGGCTGAGCGCCTCAAGGGCAAGACCATTGTCATCACCGGTGCGTCTTCTGGCATTGGTAAATCAACAGCCCTCGAATTCGCCCGGACACAGCCAGACGACTTGAAGCTCATCTTGACTGCACGAAGGGAGGACTCATTGAAAGAACTTGCGCAGGAGATTGGTGGGTTTGCAAAAGGCGTCAAAGTCCTACCGGTCAAGATGGATGTCAGCAAGCCCGATGAGGTCCAAAATTTTGTTGGCAACCTTCCTCAAGAATTCAAGGACATCGATGTGCTGGTCAACAACGCGTGAGTTGCCCAATGTATATCATGGCCTTTCTCTGCAGCTAACATGATTCAAGTGGACTCGTCAAAGGCGTTGCCCAAGCCCCCGATATCTCTCCAGCCGACATCGATATCATGTTCAGCACAAATGTAACCGGCCTGATCAACATGACGCAAGCCATCCTTCCTATCTTCAAGGCACGCTCCACCCCCTCAGGCGACATCATAAACATTGGCTCCATTGCGGGCCGTGAGCCCTACCAGGGCGGATCCATCTACTGCGCAACCAAGGCTGCAGTCCGAAGCTTCACAGACGCCCTACGCAGGGAGCTGATCGCAACAAGGATAAGAGTCATAGAAATTGACCCAGGCCAGGTGGAAACTGAATTCAGTGTTGTAAGGTTCGGTGGAGACAAGGAAAAGGCAAAGAAGGTATATGAAGGAGTCGAGCCTTTGACACCTGATGACATTGCCGAGGTTGTCGTCTTTGCTGCTGGCAGGAGAGAGAACGTGGTACTTGCTGATAGCTTGATATTTCCAAACCACCAAGTAAGTCAAATTAGAGACTTGTAAAACAAGCGACTGTTTCACTAACAGAATATAGGCGGCAGCTACAGTTATGCACCGGAAAACTGCTGGTCAGTAATCTCAATCGCCAGCCTGTACATAGAGATCGATCATCTGCATACAGACAAGGATGATGTGTTACAATTTGACTATTATCATGAAGAGCATACGTGCATCCAGTGTGCCATTTGCTGCAGGCTAATCACTTCTCAACATGGTTGCAATAACTTTCATTACAGTTAGAGATTTTATTTTCATTTGCTACAGCTTCATCAGCCGCCAGCGCCGCAACCACCATCGCGCACGATCAGCACACGATCGAATTTTGAATTCAACAGTGCCGATGATGACGAAACTAGAATATGCAAAGACAAAAAGTGTAAGTTGGATTTCCTCATCAAGTAGGGAAATCCTGCAGAATGATGTCAGACAGCAGCCAGCAGCACTACTGCAAAGTGAGGCTGGTCGCGATTCCTTGAACCTACCCGAACGCTTCAGGTGTCCTGGGGAACCACGACGTAATAGGGCGATCGAACCAGATTACCGAGCACTCATCATTTATTAGACCCTGATATGTCATGGCAGCGCTAAACAATTGAGATGTACCATAGCGCGTACATCAAAACTGTCTTGCAAGCACAACATGCGACACATTACCTGTTATGTACAAAAACCAAAGCGTTCACCAATACGATTTGTAGCTTGAATCTATCACCCCAACCGATGACTGTTCACTATCCATGGTCCATGGCCCTATCTGGACGCTTCTGGAGAATCCCGAACCAAGGTTCTCTGTTGCAAACACGACCGGGCGCGCGGGCAGCCTCGTCGATCTACGGGGTAGATGCGTGGGCGGCGACAATCATTTGGCGTCGTGCTCGGACCTCACGATCCAGCCCAGCGCATGGTATTCGCTGCTAGACATATCTCATTGTCTTGATTCGTTGGACGTAGTTCGCGAACGGGCATTTTTGTCGCATGTCACAGCTGTGATTTGCGGGAGTATTTTTAGTCTTCTTTATTCGGCTTGTGCTGTTTGTCGGCCTTCCGAAGCCTGGGTGCACCCGCGTCCTTTTTCCCACACCAACCGGCACTCACGGGAACTTCATCAAATGTTAATCTTACATCATCCTTCATCATGGTATGCGAACGGCATGGTGAGACAAGCCAGCGGGCTGATTCCGTTTGCGGGTGAATTGCTGTTTGCTCTCGTCCGCGTAAAAACGTTTACCCCTGCGCCAGGACACAATGCTTTTATTTGCGGCAAAGGTGTCGATAACTAACGCGACACGTCTCCGCACAAACTGTTTGCGCGCGCGCCCAAGACCCAGCCAGTTTCATCTCCCCTGTAGGAAACCTATCGCGCACGTACCATACTTGGTTGAAGCCCAATAGCTTGGGCGCCAAGACCATTAACCGTGGGTTTCCATTTCACTGTCGCACACGTGCGCTCGTGATAAGGGTGGTGAACGTTGGCTTGGGAGGCCAGTTTCATTCATATCTCGGCCCAAGAGCCTTTGACTTGCTCTCTGGTCGACGGCTTTGTCCGACTGTCTTCGCTTTCAACCCACGCAACCTTCACTAATACGCACACACATCGGAAAAAATTCTTAAATTCAAATATAGCAACATGGCTTCACATGAAATCGCTAGCGGTAACGACCGGAAGTTCAATTGGGACGATGACGACGACGACGACTTTGACCTGGATACTTGGAAAGCCACTGTTGACACTTCTTCACCAAGTGTTGACGAGCTTGGCCCACTTCAACTGTCGCGTTGTGAAGAGAGTATAGAATCGACTACAGCATATACATCAGATCGCAACAGCTATAGAGACGCACATTCGGACACTCTAGCCTCGCATGTTATCGACATGACTGTTGACCAGTCACCGGATGTTGACCCAGAGGATGGACACGCATCTGAGCTAGAAGCTGTTGAAGCAGCACCAGAAGCCGTATATAACAACATTATCGACACAATCACGGAAGAAGAGATTGCTTCCGCACGTCATGAGTACCTTACTCACGCTATTGGTATATACTATGACGGCAAGGACGAGGCTGATGCACCAGCATATCCCGAACTCAGCCCCTACAATGGCCAACGGTACCGATACGCAAAGGCATTCCAAAACGTAAGTCACCTGACTGGAAGACAAAGGGCACAAGTATATCGCCATTCGCCATTGGCGTTTGTGACAGGGATCGAGGAAGCGCATTTGATCGGGAACAGAAGAAGGTACGAAAACATACATAGAGAGGAAGCAACAGAGAGCCAAAACAGGGACTTGTATGAGCTGCCAGAGCTGCAGGAGCCGCAGCCAGATTTCAATTTCATCTATGAAGAAGAGAAGCAGCAGAATACAAACGAGCAAGTTGCACCGCGAAGAACACCAGCTCAAGAACACTTTTCCAGAGACGAGCTGAAGGAGTTGATTGGAATGTGGAAAGCACAGCAAGAAAGAGATGGCGTCGACGGATCTGAAGAGGACGAGGAAGCGGAGGACTCAAGTTCCATCGATACATGGGAGAAGAGTGACGAAGACGAAGAAGAAACATTCGGGCCGCTTGAGACCGAGCTCGATGATGATGACGACAACAACATATTCTCCGTGGTTCGGCCCCTAGAACCCAGAAATTCCACCCACAACGAAGAGCTGGATTTCAATGACGTTGTTTTTTATGCTGAATCTGAATGCGCAATTGGAGACCGCGATGAAGGATACGTGTCCTCGTCTCCGCTGATATCACCTGTTATAGGCACCTGCATTGATGGGTGCGACTGGCAGGCGCAACACGTCGAGGCTCAGGTTCGCCCTAAAAGGGCGGTACGGGTTGACTCTATGGATGCGCTTGATACGCTGGCGACTGTCGAGGAGTACGGTGCATCCGGCGATGAGAGTTGCGACGAAGAAGATGACGCGGCAGAGATGCTAGAGAGGAGGCAAGACAAGACCAAAATGGACATTTACCACGACAGTCTATTCACTACCAACCACAATGAGCCCGTTACAACAACAATATCATCGTTCAACAAGAAAGGAGAAAATAGCAGCACTTCCGCCATCGAGACCACAATACGGAAAGAGCTAAGCAAGGACCGCTCCATCTCACATCACACCATTACACCTCCAACCCACCCCGAGCAAACAAAACACCACCAACAACACCAAACACTCCCCGACGCCTACGTCAGCAGCGTCCTCACCACAAGCTTCCTCTACATTAGCATTCTAACTGCCGGAGCCGTCATCAGCAGCTCTATGAGCGCCATCACCCCACGAGACACCCAAGCAACAAAGTTGGACTGAAAGATATCATCACATAATCTTTTTTTTGTCCACCTTTGCAGCGATATTCTGGGCATTTTTTTTCTTCTTGGGCAAAAATGGCGTTTTATACCCCCTCCTTGTTTTTTTTTCAATGTTTTTTTCTTTTGAATTTATATTGTCGATTTTTTTTTATTTTTTTTTGAAATTTGAAAATTCCAAATTTTTTTGGTGTTGAGATTATTAGGATTTTATTATACAAAATAACATGTTGTTTTGTGGGTAAACATAACATATAACTACATGCGAGTCGTCGCCGATATGCGCACGAAAGAAGGGATGTAGACGTTTTTGTTTATTCAACAGAATCGGTGGTTAGTAGTAAAGAATTCCAACATTGAAATTTTTTTTGTTAGTAAAAAACTCCATGAGACCTTTTTTCTCTCTCGATCTCATAAAAAAAGCGAAAAGAAAGGTTGTTACAAATCTTGAATTTGAAGGAGTGATTTGGATATTTCTCTAGAAACAGAAGTTAAAAAAAAAGAGAGAGAGAGAGAATGTAGCGTGGCGGGTCTTAGAACCCCATTTCCCACTTCCTCATTTGCTACCTTAATTCTACTTTCCCCAAAATACATTCGAAAATAAATTAAGCTTTGCTATCGCTAGCCGCTCAAACCCATACTATTCATCCGCCAAACAAACAACACAAAACAAAAAACGTCGCTCAAGCCTAGTGGTAAGAAGACAAAAAAAAATAACTACTATAACTTCTTCCAGACCATCTCTTGTTTAAACATGGACAGCAATCTTCGACGTCATGTACTGTCTAATATCACCAATGAAGAAGCTCAGAATGACGGTGGCACCACCGAATGCAATCGAGACGTAATACGGTAGCTTGTAGGACTGAGCCCAGGCCTCGCGGGAGGCGGCGAGGATGATTGGGTAGGCATCTCGCTGGAGGACCGTGGGGTCAGTAGCCATGATTCTCTGTACCTCTTCGAATTGGCCGTTAGCGATGCCGACAACGATGTTCTTGATGGCCTCGCGGCCAGCGGGGATAAGCGGGTTGACAATGGCCTGGAGGGCGATCGTATTCTGTGCCATGAGACCTAGGTACTTTGTAGCTTGGCGGGTCATGAGGTTGATGTAGATGGAGTAGCCGATTGCGCCGCCGATGTAGCGGATGCTGAGGGTGAGGGCGGTGACGGTGGCGATGTATTCGTCTGGAGCGGCGATTTGGGCAATGACTGTCGAGGGGATGATGACGGCGCCGATAGCTGTGCAGGCGACCGAGGCGATGGCTACGATTGCGCCGACGTTGTGCGGGGTGTTGATGGAGAGGAGGGCTGTGGAGGCGGTTGCGACGGAGGTGACGAAGATCATGATTTCCCGGAAGCGGCCGCCAGTGATGGGGATTAGGAGTAAGCCTATGAAGGCACCACCCATGATGCCGAAGCCGATGGGGAGAGAGCGGAGGCCGTTTTCTGTTGGGTCATTGCCTGTGGTTTTTGTTAGCGGTGGATACAACTGCGGATTGTGGGTGTCGTTTGCTTACCGTAGACGTTGAGGACTTGGGATGGGTAGATGAGGATCAAGGCGAAGAAAGTGCCACCACTAATGAAGATGAGGAGCAGAATGACAATCATGGTTCTCTTGGCTTTGGCGAACATTCCTCGTGGAACCATGGGATGCTCGGCGCGGAACTCCCATACGACGAATGCGGCTATGAGAACGAGTCCAAGAATAAAAGGCACGAGGTTGTGAACGCTGCCCCAGTTATACTGGAAAGCTGTTAGCATCGTATCGTGTATCAAAAACTTGGTTGAACGAACCTGCACTGATCCCCACTGAAGTCCCATCATGAAGAGGGTGATACCGCTGGTACTCAGGAAACCACCGACGAGATCGAGTTTTGAAATGACATCGCGAGCAGTGTAACTGTCTGAAAGGCGAGACGGACTCCTGTAAAAGAAGATGCACATTAGCAGCCCAATGAAGTTCCACACGCCAACGAAGATGCCATTGTAGCGCCAGCCGGCCCCATGCTCGGCAATGGTTTGAGACCACAGAACGGCTGGGCAGAAGGGAATAATGGTGATAACGACGAAGCCAATATACTTGGCGCGATCCTTGACAGGAACGACTTCAGCTGTGCCGGAGAGTGAGATCATCTCGTTGAGACCCGCACCAATGCCTGAGAAGACCTGGCCGCCTGGAGTTTGTCAGCGAAAGCCGTTGGACCATGTAAATGCGCTACTCACCAATGGCGATGTTCATGTTCGAGGCAGTCGATGTAACAATGGCACCGATAACCAATGCCAATTGTCCCGCAATAGCAACCCTTTGTCTTCCAAAAAGGTCGGACAGCGCACCAACAAAAGGCAAAAGGGCGGCAAGCGGAATGAGATAGGCAATCATGAACCATGAGAATCGATCCGCTCCTCCAAGATCTCTGGTGATGAACGAGATGATGGAGCCAAAGATGAAGAGGGGAATCTGAGATCCAACCCATAGGAACACCATGCAGACCAAAGTTATGAAGAGCTTGAAGTTCATCTGTAACTCTCTGTCAACACCTCATATCCACACGACCGCATTCGTTAGACTGACCTTTTCGTGGACGACTACATTACTCTCGCCACCGCTGCCGACCTGCGACAGTTGAGGGGGTTTGTCTTGTTCATGAACAGGCGTCTGCGAGGTCACCATCTCAAGCGCATTGCCATCGTGTTTCTCGTAATCCTGAGAGCGGCCGCTCGATGCAGTTCTTTCGTCCATTTTGCTGAAGGCGTGGGGCCGAGAGAACATCTTGCCACGGCAAAGAGGAGGCGTAGGGTAGTTCAAGTAGTCTGAGCTGTCCCCCCCCCCAGACCCAGACCCTAGTGAGCTGAGGTGTTACCCAAGCGTCGCACTAGCTCCTATGTCATAGCGAAGTTTGTCGTGTGGAAGCCTCTTGAATCGAAAGGCCAATATCACATGTAATACCACCGCAATGCAGGGGAATGGGCGGGGGCTGCGCAATGGAACAAACGAGGACTTGAGGGCCCCTCAATCCCCCAACACGCCGAAACCAACCTTGGTATTGCCCGTTCGGCGCCTTCAAGGTCATAGCGGAGTGGATGGCGGGATGCTGGTTGCGGAAACCTTGCACCCCTACCACACTTGCCCCGCTAGCGTCAGGGTCATAAACCTTATTTGCTGAGCCAAAGCCAGATTCCAATTTGTTTAATTTGTTCATTTCTGCCATTACCCTGCGACTTGATAATCGCTGATCCAGACCACGAATGCTTGATTTTTACTTCGTAAAGTCGTTCTTTACAGCCCTGCACTGACTTGTACGAGTGAAAGGGAGGCAGGAATAGCAGCATCTCACTTGAGCCGTGTGTAAGGAAACGGGCCGACGCTCTCTGAACGAACAAGGCTAGGAAGGAAAGGGATGCTATTGCGATTTGGGAATGAGCTGGGTGAGGATGTTGTCGCAGACATGTATGATGCGCAATCTGCCGGGGACTGCAGATCATCTCTGCAAAAGTGTACGTACACAGTGGTACATACTCACTTCTAAGCCACACCGTTGGGTCGATATGAGGCAAAGACATCCCCGAGCGACATCACGTAAGTAAGTATGTATATAGAGTTTTACATACCGGGCCGTTGGTAAAAAAAACAACAACATTTGGGCCACAACAATTGGCGCACATTTGGATGCAATCTTCTTTATCGCTGCTCTGATTACGTCTGGCCATGAGAAAGCATGCTCTTGATGGAACCATGGAGAATTTGAATACCTTCAGGAATCCCTCCAAGACCATGTTCCTTTGTTGACGGGAGATCGGTGATGGCATTCCGAAGTAGATTTATATAAGAAGTTTAGTACTTGGATGGATTCGTCGTAGCATTTCCCCTTCAACACGGCTGGATTGGCGACCCGGCCACAACCGGATTTCCCGGGGTGGCAAGTTGAGACAGCACAGTAAATCCTATACTGTGCTACGTACTGCGTACATAGCCGTAAGTAAGTACATACGCGCGTATGTACAATTAGCTGTACAGTAGACGGCAATTGTCTCATGTATCCAAGAACACGTGAAGCGGACGTGAGACCACTGAGATTGGGTGGCTTGTTTATGGTCCATCGTTTTCACATCTGCAGCAACATATGGTGAGAACAATTGAATGTGGTTTGGCAATATTAATGCAATGCCACAGTTATGAAGAACGGTGACCAACGCCGACGTAAGCCTCGCCGGAACACGTACTTATTATGCACCGCATATGTAAGCAACCAGGCGCTTAGAGAAGCAGGTCGAAGGTGTACTGTACCAGAACCATCAGTTGAACAATGGATGGTCTTGCATTGGGAAGGAACTGCAGCCTGACCCATTGTGGCTGTGGAGCTTTGATGCATGCCGACAGCCAAGATGTCCGAGTATCGCATTCCAATCAGTTGATGATTTTTTTTCCCATAATGCCTACTGGTCAGATGGCGAAGACAACGCAGAGTTGTAGATACTGCAGACACATAATTGACAGGTGCATATACTACAAGTCAAAGATCAGCACGGCGTTTCCCGCTAACATCGGGCTAGTACTACCGTGGAAGTTTACAGGGGTTGATGCGCATTTAAAAGGCCCTAATGTATTTGGGCTAATACGACTTCCGGCTTACGGCTTACGGCTTACGCGCCCAGACATTTAACTGCCGATTTGCAGTCAAGGGTGAACGTCAGACGCGTCTGGCATGATCGCAGCAGGTCAATGGATGCCCAAATCGAAGTCTTGGACGGTTTGAACATGGTTTCTCTTCAACTGTTTGACGGAGCGTGATTGGCCTTGGGCCAAGGGCGATGTAGGCTCAATCCATATAGGCCAAGATAGAGTTGTAACTGCATCCGGCATACGAGCCCAAGTTGCCGTGTGCTGGTTCAGAACACTAGGAAATGCGGAACGCGACGGGAAGGTACGAAGCTTGGAGGGTAAGAGTGTCAGGATGGCAGAAATTGGACAAGGCCGTCTCCACGGTTCACCAAGAGCGGATCGAGGCTAGTGTCTTGGCGTGTGTCCGAACGCGTTGATCATTCATCAAACTGAACCCAAACACTCATATCATCTCTTCAAGCGTGCAAAAATCCACATTGGTCATCCTTGACTTCTCAGACGCTTCTTGATTATGTACACATCGTACGGGCTCCACGTCAGTCTACGGTTTGCGGAACGACGACAGGGTCCCTGGTGGGGCTCAACGCTCGATCTCATGTAACCAGGCTTACCGGCTATTGCCCCGTCCATGCCGTACCAAGGCTCTTTTGCGATCATGGCATCGGCACATCATCTGCAACTCAACATGACGGCAATTCCACACTCTCCAACCGCCAGTACCTGTTCTTTGTTCATCGTACATCATCGTTATCTTGACATCTTCTCTGATGTCCAAAAGCCTTCCAACCTTGATGCTATCCTTTTCTTCTCCGGAAATGTGAGTCAATTTCTGCTGGCGGATATGACTATGTATAGGGCGGAAGATTACTCCGATAGGGCTGTCCGTCTTACTCAGCAACCATACTGGCCTAGCCAGTTTTAGCGAATCTTCTGACAGCAGGTCCATCATCTGGTACATACGGGTCAGCCTAGATGAGATTTTTGAATTTGCCGGATTTCATCGCGGGCAGATGCCGTCACCTCAAATGTGGGCGGCTCAGATAAGCCTCCTGATTTATTCATCCGCACTTCCGCGTTCTGCTCGAGCATTGTTGCGTCAATACAGCATGGCGCTAGCAGACCGCATACTCAAGGTTGTTGTGGCGTAGCATACGATTTGTCCTTGCTGGATCCAAATGGTGACTGTATCAAAAAACCCGGTACTTTGAACTGACCTCGGAGGAGCTCAAACAACACTGACACATGGATCCAACACATCTTGAAAGAGTCTTGTGATATCGTAACAATCGTTGCTGCTAGAGGTCAAAGAGTTCTATGTTTATTTACCCTTTCCGTATCAGGCCTTTCGGGAACGGCGAGAAATAGTAGCTCCGATGGATGAGCTTGACTGAGCTTCGCCTCCTACCAGACTGAATGTTCGCCGCAACACGCATGATCATCTGCCTAAACTTAACAATGTACCGGTCTTGTTTGGTCAAGAGTCAGCTATCGTGTTATTTGTTTTGCTTGCTCTTTGACGGTCAAACAGAACAACATGACGTGCTTCCGACGTCAACCGGTGGGAAAACTTTAATCTGCCCAAATCGACGTAATCGGCGACTACCGTGAGATATGCATTTTTGGACCCTGTGAGAAAGCTGGATGTATTGCCTAACGGAACGAGCCGTGGACTAGAATGGAAATGTCGAGATATTTTGCTGGGAACCAAAACAGTTTGTCTAAGGAAAACATTGGTCGTTCTGTGCTATAGTAGCATACCCAAAACAGGATATCTGTCAGGCGAATTGCCAGAAATATGAAAGCTAACATTGAAACAAGGCAGTTTGCATGTCACTGTGACTCACTTGTATCTATTATGAATTGACTCGCAAAGCTAACATTTTATACCTGAAGGGGACTAGCAAGCAACCCATAAACTCAGTCGTGAGTACTGCCTGCTGATTGGGAATTTTGAGTTGACTCAGTCACATTGTCCTTGCACATTAGGTTTCTTCTCACTAGACGCAAAGGGGTCTAGTGAAACTCACAGTCGATTTACGTATCAGAGTCGTATCCGTAGTCAAGTTATCGTAGACAGTAGTCAGAACTGTTCTTCCAAGCTGTAGCAGCGTTGATTCAAGTGAGTTACTGAGCACAAGATGTGAGTTCCATCGGCTGTCTATTGATACCTTTACATTTATTCTTGAATACAGCTCTGTTAATTCACGTATATCCGCCAAAGCTAGCACCTCTTTCGCCAACATTAATCGCACAAGAGCCACTTGATCTTCACATCGAACGAGTCACCGAAAGTGTTTTCGTAACTTCCTATTCTCTAGTACATGGCGATTCACTATCACAAGGATGGGGATTCTTCTAGAACTTTCCAAGAAGCAGATACAGGCTAAATGCATCTTTGCTGATACGCACATTTGGGATAATTGAAATTTTTGTAGTCATATGGCTCCTCAAGTGAAATATTCGGTAACTAGATTGTCGCAACATGCACACTTAGTATTCTTGCACCAGTTTCTAACATCCGGTCCCTCACCTCCTGGTGACTAGACAGAAATGGTTGCTCACGTGATATGACTCTCTTCAAGAAAACACGAGGAGCCTCTGAAAGCCGTACATAGGCTCAATTTTACCACTAAACCTGCCGCTAGTACTATAAATCAAGTTTTACTATCAAATGAATTTCAGTTCGGTCATTGTGTATCGCGAGCCCTCACCGCCCCACTTTGTCGCTCCAATCACCATGATGCCATATCTTGACCCTTATCAGTCACCTTATCTCACGAGACTACACCGCTATCATCAAAAGCACTCTTTATCTAGAGCATTGGATTTATTCACGCTTCACACAACAGGACGCCATATCCACACTCAGCTATCCACTTCTCGCCTCTCATGGATCACCAACACTATCAACCAATCTGGCCGCTGGTCGAGGGCACATATGACTACACAATGAACCTGGCTGCCGAGCTCTGGACTATGATATGGCCAGCAGGTGAAGCCCAACAAGCCCATGCCAAAAGAGAAGTCGACTCGAATGCCGCGAAGAAGGAGAAGGTTGCAGCTCGCCCAAATACAGCAACTACTGCTGGGATAAACAACAGCGCTACAAAGACCTGAGAACATTGCACGAGTCAGAAAAAAAGTCCGCGCGCTACCCGAAGATAAGCAAAAGAAATTACCAGTAAGGCGTCACACCCAAGGTCGCTGAGTATAAACTGACGAGACAAGTGGGTATGTCGCGCTGGTTTAGACAAGATCATCTACATAAAATTCACCGAACATTGATTCAAACGAAGAGCAAGGTATGTCTGTACACAACGACTGACCAAATATAGCTCGTGTAATGACTAGTAGCAAGCAGCGCATCAGTCAAGTGTCCTCCGGGGCTAGGAGAGCCAGGCAAGTACTATGCGGCTGCAGCAACGACAACACAGTATGTACATTATCGCGATTTGGGAATTGTCGTGGGGATGGCAAATTAGAGCGCCCAAGTGCCATGGACGGGGCATACGTAGTCTTATTGATACTACAATGGGCAAGGCACCTGGATCAGGATCGGGTGGTATGCAAAGGCTCAAACACCGGATTTAGTTTTTATATCTTTCAGCAGTCCTTCTTTTTTTAAAGTAATTTCACAGGTTCATACGAGGGTTATCAAATTTGCTTTACCAGAGTTTAACGTCTGATATAGGGGGACGAATGTTTTGTGCCATGCTTTAAAATTTCTATGCGTCGTGCAGAAAGTGAAAGGGGATGGGTTTTGTAATCGTGACTTGTAAGATTAGGTGAAGAAAGATAGTTAATACACTGTGGCACTACGACTTTGGATTGGGATAATGGTTCTCTTACCATATCTTCGGAATCACAACTGCTTGCGGGTTTCAATCACTCCCTTCTCATCACGTTTACCTTACGTCTTATCAAAAAAAGACCCCCCCCCAACAAAGAACCACAAAAATGCCCATCTATAAACACGACAAAGTCAGTAAACCGCTCAATCTATATATTAACCCCCACGAAGTGAGTCCCAGGTGAGAGAGAAGAAGAAGTCACAAGAACGCACTACTCGAAGGTGATCTAAATACGGCTTCGATATCTTCTTAGAACAAAAGCTTTTTTTTGTTTCTCAAGCTTTGGCTGTTACATGGTGACAAGGCTAACATTTCCTCTCGACTGTAGCAGGTGTGACGTCAATGCTAATGCTAATGGGATTGCAATGACCCGGTATCCTGGGAAATGGCTATTGGATTGAGGATTGATGCCCGATTTAATCTGTATTGTTCCAAGAATTTGGGAAGGGAGGTGAGGTGAAGTGAGACGAGGGGTGCTGAAGAGGTTGCAGGATATTTGTGGATTCGAAAGAGATATTCTGGGGAAGAGGTCAAGAAGCTCCGCCGACAGATATAAGTAGTCAATTTTAACTGTGAGCAAGAAAGTGGTAGCGCACTGCTGAGTAGTTAATAAGTGTGGGGCTTTTTTGGTTATCGAAGACACATTGTGGCGTATAAGTAAGTGTGGGACATAGAGTCGTTTGCAGGATGCACAAGGGAATCAAGTGGGGGTAATCCAGAGTTTACGCTCTTTGCCACAAACTTGGCCTTTTTCGTCGTCTGATTGGGTGGTTTCGCACTCTTGTTGCAATGAGATCCTTGTCTTTTTGCGGGGGTTTGATCGTTGTAAAAGAGGCTTGGATGTGACCGTATTCGCAAAACCCCCGAGCCAGTCGCTTGGAAATATAATGGGGCTTTGTGAAACGAGTGGCACTTTGTTTTGAAGACGGATAGGGAAGGAGGGGACTTCGGTAGGGAGTATGTCTCTCTCTTTTTTTTTAAGAATCGTTGGTGTGGTATCTAAAGGGCCGAAGAAGAAAGGGTCTTTTGATGCTAATGATGCGTGTACGGTATCGAATAGTTTGGTGATGAGACAGATGAGAAAATGAACGCGTTGCTGTGGGCAATCCGAGTATTCCGATAGAGTCTTGTCTGATTTCATCAGATATAGTGTACAATTCCTAAGAATAGGATCAATGGTATTGTTAAGAGATTCTCGGATGTATATTTCGGGGTACCGATCGTCTTCGACAGTTAGTTCTTGTACGCGCGTTGATATATTGAAGCGCTCTGGAAATGAGGCTCGTCATGACTAGAGCATGTCCTTGGTGTTTGACTTTCATTTACAGCACTAAATGGAGCAGGGTCATCGATTGCGTTTGCGCCTAAAGCTTATAGACAGTAAACGGTGGGGCAGTCCCCTCACACACATCTTAGCCTTACAGCACGCTGGAACATTTATAGGCAATAAGGTAGCTCTTATTCTCCACTCTACAAGTTGCGAACCCTATTTCTATAGTGAGTAGTATCCACTTTTACAGCGAATGTAGGGTCCACATTCGCGACGCTACCCGAATCCGTGGATTTGGAATACGAAGGGCAATGCTTACATCGCCTCATTTTCGCCGTAGCACTCCAACGTTGAAATCATGTTATTGGTAATCGTCACTGCATTCTGAAAGATCACCCTCCGATGATCATCGTTCTAGTTCAGGCGGAACTAATTTCGGTTCCGGATCCGTCCCCATCCGGACCCCCTGGAACCCAGCCCATAGCACACTGCCGCGACGATGGTCCGAGATTTAGCGAGTGAGCACGCAGCTAACGCAAATATAATAAGCGGCACAGCTGTTCAGAGACTTCTAGGTATGATCTATCAGCTCAAAATGTCTGGAAACTAGTGTTTGGTACACGCTTGACTAGCTTACCAAGTTCAACGGGCCAATGTTTCGTCAAACCATATACCAGAACACGAACACAAACCACAGCAAACTTTGCTTACGCCATGACAGGCGATGCACTAAATGTGCATTTATTAAAGTATGACATGATTTTTCGAAGAAGTCGTCCGATTTCGCCTCAATTCAAGAGCGTCGTAATAGATATACCGAGGCCGTTAAGGACTGTGACATTCTCGCGTTCATGGAAAGCAAGTTGAGGCAGGGCCTGAACCAATCAGGAATCCGGAGCCGAGTCGAGAGCTTCTGGAGTGGC